ATAACCTTTCTCACAGTTTGGGGCTTTTTACCCGTGAATCTTCACTTTGCGACTAAACTATTCACAGCAGTGCCAAATTTTCTGGGTCACTGAATGTGGGTGCCAGCGCCCTCCAAGCAAACCAAAAATCAAATAAATGCGACCACTGACAATGCAGCTGGGTCATGTTATAGAGAGGTGCATTGAAATTCAAAGGTCAGCACAAATGGTCAATATCCGACATTTTCTCACCTTTCTGCCCGTTCGCAGCTCAGAAACAGACAATGACCATCCTCATCTCCTTCTGTAGCTGGACATAGACAAGTGCACCAAGTAAAAGAGCCACATTTCTCTAAAGAACTCGCCCAAGGCTGCTGAAAGCTGAAAAATAACCTATCTCACAGTTTGGGGCTTTTTACCCGTGATTCTTCACTTTGCGACTAAACTATTCACAGCAGTGCCAAATTTTCTGGGTTACTGAATGTGGGTGCCAGCGCCCTCCAAGCAAACCAAAAATCAAATCAATGCGACCATTGACAACGCAGCTGGGTCATGTTATAGAGAGGTACATTGAAATTCAAAGGTCAGCACAAATGGTCAAAATCCGACATTTTCTCACCTTTCTGTCTTTTCGCAGCTCAGAAAATGACAATGACCATCCTCATCATCTTGTGTAGCTGGACATAGACAAGTGCACCAAGAAAAAGAGCCACATTTCTCTAAAGAACTCGGCCAAGGCTGCTGAAAGCTGAAAAATAACCTATCTCACAGTTTGGGGCTTTTTACCCGTGAATCTTCAGTTTGCGACTAAACTATTCACAGCAGTGCCAAATTTTCTGGGTCACTGAATGTGGGTGCCAGCGCCCTCCAAGCAAACCAAAAATCAAATCAAAGCGAACACTGATATTACAGCTGGGTCACGTTATAGAGAGGTGCATTGAAATTCAAAGGTCAGCACAAATGGTCAAAATCCGACATTTTCTCACCTTTCTGCCCGTTCGCAGCTCAGAAACAGACAATGACCATCCTCATCTCCTTGTGTAGCTGGATATAGACAAGTGCACCAAGAAAAAGAGCCACATTTCTCTAAAGAACTCGGCCAAGGCTGCTGAAAGCTGAAAAATAACCTATCTCACAGTTTGGGGCTTTTTACCCGTGAATCTTCAGTTTGCGACTAAACTATTCACAGCAGTGCCAAATTTTCTGGGTCACTGAATGTGGGTGCCAGCGCCCTCCAAGCAAACCAAAAATCAAATCAAAGCGAACACTGATATTACAGCTGGGTCACGTTATAGAGAGGTGCATTGAAATTCAAAGGTCAGCACAAATGGTCAAAATCCGACATTTTCTCACCTTTCTGCCCGTTCGCAGCTCAGAAACAGACAATGACCATCCTCATCTCCTTGTGTAGCTGGATATAGACAAGTGCACCAAGAAAAAGAGCCACATTTCTCTGAAGAACTCGCCCAGGGCTGCTGAAAGCTGAAAAATAACCTTTCTGACAGTTTGGGGCTTTTTACCCGTGAATCTTCACTTTGCGACTAAACTATTCACAGCAGTGCCAAATTTTCTGGGTCATTGAATGTGGGTGCCAGCGCACTCCAAGCAAACCAAAAATCAAATAAATGCGACCACTGACAATGCAGCTGGGTCATGTTATAGAGAGGTACATTGAAATTCAAAGGTCAGCACAAATGGTCAAAATCCGACATTTTCTCACCTTTCTGCCCGTTCGCAGCTCAGAAACAGACAATGACCATCCTCATCTCCTTCTGTAGCTGGACATAGACAAGTGCACCAAGAAAAAGAGCCACATTTCTCTAAAGAACTCGCCCAAGGCTGCTGAAAGCTGAAAAATAACCTATCTCACAGTTTGGGGCTTTTTACCCGTGATTCTCCACTTTGCGACTAAACTATTCACAGCAGTGCCAAATTTTCTGGGTCACTGAATGTGGGTGCCAGCGCCCTCCAAGCAAACCAAAAATCAAATCAATGCGACCATTGACAACGCAGCTGGGTCATGTTATAGAGAGGTACATTGAAATTCAAAGGTCAGCACAAATGGTCAAAATCCGACATTTTCTCACCTTTCTGCCCGTTCGCAGCTCAGAAAATGACAATGACCATCCTCATCTCCTTCTGTAGCTGGACATAGACAAGTGCACCAAGAAAAAGAGCCACATTTCTCTGAAGAACTCGCCCAGGGCTGCTGAAAGCTGAAAAATAACCTTTCTGACAGTTTGGGGCTTTTTACCCGTGAATCTTCACTTTGCGACTAAACTATTCACAGCAGTGCCAAATTTTCTGGGTCACTGAATGTGGGTGCCAGCGCCCTCCAAGCAAACCAAAAATCAAATAAATGCGACCACTGACAATGCAGCTGGGTCATGTTATAGAGAGGTGCATTGAAATTCAAAGGTCAGCACAAATGGTCAATATCCGACATTTTCTCACCTTTCTGCCCGTTTGCAGCTCAGAAACAGACAATGACCATCCTCATCTCCTTCTGTAGCTGGACATAGACAAGTGCACCAAGAAAAAGAGCCACATTTCTCTAAAGAACTCGCCCAAGGCTGCTGAAAGCTGAAAAATAACCTATCTCACAGTTTGGGGCTTTTTACCCGTGATTCTTCACTTTGCGACTAAACTATTCACAGCAGTACCAAATTTTCTGGGTCAATGAATGTGGGTGCCAGCGCCCTCCAACCAAACCAAAAATCAAGTCAATGCGGCCATTGACAACGCAGCTGGGTCATGTTATAGAGAGGTACATTGAAATTCAAAGGTCAGCACAAATGGTCAAAATCCGACATTTTCTCACCTTTCTGCCCTTTCGCAGCTCAGAAAATGACAATGACCATCCTCATCTCCTTCCGTAGCTGGACATAGACAAGTGCACCAAGAAAAAGAGCCACATTTCTCTAAAGAACTCGCCCAAGGCTGCTGAAAGTTGAAAAATAACCTATCTCACAGTTTGGGGCTTTTACCCGTGAATCTTCACTTTGCGACTAAACTATTCACAGCAGTGCCAAATTTTCTGGGTCACTGAATGTGGGTGCCAGCGCCCTCCAAGCAAACCAAAAATCAAATCAAAGCGAACACTGATATTAAAGCTGGGTCACGTTATAGAGAGGTGCATTGAAATTCAAAGGTCAGCACAAATGGTCAAAATCCGACATTTTCTCACCTTTCTGCCCGTTCGCAGCTCAGAAACAGACAATGACCATCCTCATCTCCTTGTGTAGCTGGACATAGACAAATGCACCAAGAAAAAGAGCCACATTTCTCTGAAGAACTCGCCCAGGGCTGCTGAAAGCTGAAAAATAACCTTTCTGACAGTTTGGGGCTTTTTACCCGTGAATCTTCACTTTGCGACTAAATTATTCACAGCAGTGCCAAATTTTCTGGGTCACTGAATGTGGGTGCCAGCGCCCTCCAAGCAAACCAAAAATCAAATAAATGCGACCACTGACAATGCAGCTGGGTCATGTTATAGAGAGGTGCATTGAAATTCAAAGGTCAGCACAAATGGTCAAAATCCGACATTTTCTCACCTTTCTGCCCGTTCGCAGCTCAGAAACAGACAATGACCATCCTCATCTCCTTCTGTAGCTGGACATAGACAAGTGCACCAAGAAAAAGAGCCACATTTCTCTAAAGAACTCGCCCAAGGCTGCTGAAAGCTGAAAAATAACCTATCTCACAGTTTGGGGCTTTTTACCCGTGATTCTTCACTTTGCGACTAAACTATTCACAGCAGTGCCAAATTTTCTGGGTCACTGAATGTGGGTGCCAGCGCCCTCCAAGCAAACCAAAAATCAAATCAATGAGACCATTGACAACGCAGCTGGGTCATGTTATAGAGAGGTACATTGAAATTCAAAGGTCAGCACAAATGGTCAAAATCCGACATTTTCTCACCTTTCTGCCCTTTCGCAGCTCAGAAAATGACAATGACCATCCTCATCTCCTTGTGTAGCTGGACATAGACAAGTGCACCAAGAAAAAGAGCCACATTTCTCTAAAGAACTCGCCCAAGGCTGCTGAAAGCTGGAAAATAACCTATCTGACAGTTTGGGGCTTTTTACCCGTGAATCTTCACTTTGCGACTAAACTATTCCCAGCAGTGCCAAATTTTCTGGGTCACTGAATATGGGTGCCAGCGCCCTCCAAGCAAACCAAAAATCAAATCAATGCGAACACTGACATTACAGCTGGGTCATGTTATAGAGAGGTACATTGAAATTCAAAGGTCAGCACAAATGTTCAAAATCCGACATTTTCTCACCTTTCCGCCCGTTAATAGCTCAGTAACAGACAATGACCATACTCATCTCCTTGTGGAGATGGATATAAACAAGTGCACCAAGAAAAAGAGCTACATTTCTCTAAAGAACTCGCCCAGGGCTGCTGAAAGCTGAAAAATAACCTTTCTGACAGTTTGGGGCTTTTTACCCGTGAATTTTCACTTTGCGACTAAACTATTCACAGCAGTGCCAAATTTTCTCGGTCACTGAATGTGGGTGCCAGCGCCCTCCAAGCAAACCAAAAATCAAATCAATGCCACCACTGACAATGCAGCTGGGTCATGTTATAGAGAGGTGCATTGAAATTCAAAGGTCAGCACAAATGGTCAAAATCCGACATTTTCTCACCTTTCCGCCCGTTAATAGCTCAGTACCAAACAATGACCATCCTCATCTCCTTGTGTAGATGGATATAGATAAGTGCACCAATAAAAAGAGCCACATTTCTCTAAAGAACTCGCCCAGGGCTGCGGAAAGCTGAAAATAACCTATCTCACAGTTTGAGGCTTTTTACCCGTGAATCTTCACTTTGCGACTAAACTATTCACAGCAGTGCCAAATTTTCTGGGTCACTGAATGTGGGTGCCAGCGCGCTCCAAGCAAACGAAAAATCAAAACAATCCGACCACTGACATTACAGCTGGGTCATGTTATAGAGAGGTACATTGAAATTCAAAGGTCAGCACAAATGGTCAAAATCCGACATTTTCTCACCTTTCTGCCCTTTCGCAGCTCAGAAACAGACAATGACCATCCTCATCTCCTTCTGTAGCTGGACATAGACAAGTGCACCAAGAAAAAGAGCCACATTTCTCTAAAGAACTCGCCCAAGGCTGCTGAAAGCTGAAAAATAACCTATCTCACAGTTTGGGGCTTTTTACCCGTGAATCTTCACTTTGCGACTAAACTATTCACAGCAGTGCCAAATTTTCTGGGTCACTGAATGTGGATGCCAGCGCCCTCCGACCAAACCAAAAATCAAATCAATGCGACCACTGATATTACAGCTGGGTCATGTTATAGAGAGGTACATTGAAATTGAAAGGTCAGCACAAATGGTCAAAATCCGACATTTTCTCACCTTCCTGCCCGTTTGCAGCTCACAAAATAACAATGACCATCCTGATCTCCTTGTGTAGCTGGACACAGACGAGTGCACAAAGAAAAAGAGCCACATTTCTCTAAAGAACTCGCCCAAGGCTGCTGAAAGCTGAAAAATATCCTATCTGACAGTTTGGGGCTTTTTACCCGTGAATCTTCACTTTGCGACTAAACTATTCACAGCAGTGCCAAATTTTCTGGGTTACTGAATGTGGGTGCCAGCGCCCTCCAAGCAAACCAAAAATCAAATCAATGCCACCACTGGTATTACAGCTGGGTCATGTTACAGAGAGGTAAATTGAAATTCAAAGGTCAGCAGAAATGGTCAAAATCCGACATTTTCTCACCTTTCTGCCCTTTCGCAGCTCAGAAAATGACAATGACCATCCTCATCTCCTTGTGTAGCTGGACATAGAGAAGTGCACCAAGAAAAAGAGCCACATTTCTCTGAAGAACTCGCCCAGGGCTGCTGAAAGCTGAAAAATAACCTTTCTGACAGGTTGGGGCTTTTTCCCCGTGAATCTTCACTTTGCGACTAAATTATCCACAGCAGTGCCAAATGTTCTGGGTCACTGAATGTGGGTGCCAGCGCCCTCCCAGCAAACCAAAAATCAAATCAATGCGACCACTGACAATGCAGCTGGGTCATGTTATAGAGAGGTGCATTGAAATTCAAAGGTCAGCACAAATGGTCAAAATCCGACATTTTCTCACCTTTCTGCCCGTTCGCAGCTCAGAAACAGACAATGACCATCCTCATCTCCTTCTGTAGCTGGACATAGACAAGTGCACCAAGAAAAAGAACCACATTTCTCTAAAGAACTCGCCCAAGGCTGCTGAAAGCTGAAAAATAACCTATCTCACAGTTTGGGGCTTTTTACCCGTGAATCTTCACTTTGCGACTAAACTATTCACAGCAGTGCCAAATTTTCTGGGTCAATGAATGTGGATGCCAGCGTCCTCCAACCAAACCAAAAATCAAATCAATGCGACCATGGACAACGCAGCTGGGTCATGTTATAGAAAGGTACATTGAAATTCAAAGGTCAGCACAAATGGTCAAAATACGACATTTTCTCAGCTTTCTGCCCGTTCGCAGCTCAAAAAATGACTATGAACATCCTCATCTCCTTGTGTAGCTGGACATAGACAAGTGCACCAAGAAAAAGAGCCACATTTCTCTGAAGAACTTGCCCAGGGCTGCTGAAAGCTGAAAAATAACCTATCTGACAGTTTGGGGCTCTTTACCCGTGAATCTTCACTTTGTGACTAAACTATTCACAGCAGTGCCAAATTTTCTCGGTCAATGAATGTGGGTGCCAGCGCCCTCCAAGCAAACCAAAAATCAAATCAATGCGACCACTGATATTACAGCTGGGTCATGTTATAGAGAGGTACATTGAAATTCAAAGGTCAGCACGAATGTTCAAAATCCGACATTTTCTCACCTTTCCGCCCGTTAATAGCTCAGTAACAGACAATGACCATCCTCATCTCCTTATGTAGATGGATATAGACAAGTGCACAAAGAAAAAGAGCCACACTTCTCTAAAGAACTCGCCCAGGGCTGCTGAAAGCTGAAAAATAACCTTTCTGACAGTTTGAGGCTTTTTACCCGTGAATCTTCACTTTGCGACTAAACTATTCACAGCAGTGCCAAATTTTCTTGGTCACTGAATGTGGGTGCCAGCGCCCTCCAAGCAAACCAAAAATCAAATCAATGCGACCACTGACAATGCAGCTGGGTCATGTTATAGAGAGGTGCATTGAAATTCAAAGGTCAGCACAAATGGTCAAAATCCGACATTTTCTCAACTTTCCGCCCGTTCGCAGCTCGGAATATGACAATGACCATCCTCATCCCCTTGTGTAGCTGGACATACACAAGTGCACCAATAAAAAGAGCCACATTTCTCTAAAGAACTCGCCCAGGGCTGCTGAAAGCTGAAAAATAACCTATCTCACAGTTTGGGGCTTTTTACCCGTGAATCTTCACTTTGCGACTAAACTATTCACAGCAGTGCCAAATTTTTTGGGTCACTGAATGTGGGTGCCAGCGCACTCCAAGCAAACCAAAAATCAAATAACTGCGACCACTGACAATGCAGCTGGGTCATGTTATAGAGAGGTGCATTGAAATTCAAAGGTCAGCACAAATGGTCAAAATCCGACATTTTCTCACCTTTCTGCCCGTTCGCAGCTCAGAAACAGACAATGACCATCCTCATCTCCTTCTGTAGCTGGACATAGACAAATGCACCAAGAAAAAGAGCGACATTTCTCTAAAGAACTCGCCCAAGGCTGCTGAAAGCTGAAAAATAACCTATCTGACAGTTTGGGGCTTTTTCCCCGTGAATCTTCACTTTGCGACTAAACTATTCACAGCAGTGCCAAATTTTCTGGGTTACTGAATGTGGGTGCCAGCGCCCTCCAAGCAAACCAAAAATCAAATAAATATGACCACTGACAATGCAGCTGGGTCATGTTATAGAGAGGTACATTGAAATTCAAAGGTCAACACAAATTTTCAAAATCCGACATTTTCTCACCTTTCTGCCCGTTCGCAGCTCAGAAACAGACAATGACCATCCTAATCTCCTTCTGTAGCTTGACTTAGAAAAGTGCACCAAGAAAAAGAGCCACATTTCTCTAAAGAACTCGCCCAGGGCTGCTGAAAGCTGAAAAATAACATATCTGACAGTTTGGGGCTTTTTACCCGTGAATCTTCACTTTGCGACTAAATTATCCACAGCAGTGCCAAATGTTCTGGGTCACTGAATGTGGGTGCCAGCGCCCTCCAAGCAAACCAAAAATCAAATCAATGCGACCACTGACAATGCAGCTGGGTCACGTTATAGAGAGGTGCATTGAAATTCAAAGGTCAGCACAAATGGTCAAAATCCGACATTTTCTCACCTTTCTGCCCGTTCGCAGCTCAGAAACAGACAATGACCATCCTCATCTCCTTGTGTAGCTGGACATAGACAAGTGCACCAAGAAAAAGAGCCACATTTCTCTGAAGAACTCGCCCAGGGCTGCTGAAAGCTGAAAAATAACCTTTCTCACAGTTTGGGGCTTTTTACCCGTGAATCTTCACTTTGCGACTAAACTATTCACAGCAGTGCCAAATTTTCTGGGTCACTGAATGTGGGTGCCAGCGCCCTCCAAGCAAACCAAAAATCAAATAAATGCGACCACTGACAATGCAGCTGGGTCATGTTATAGAGAGGTGCATTGAAATTCAAAGGTCAGCACAAATGGTCAATATCCGACATTTTCTCACCTTTCTGCCCGTTCGCAGCTCAGAAACAGACAATGACCATCCTCATCTCCTTCTGTAGCTGGACATAGACAAGTGCACCAAGAAAAAGAGCCACATTTCTCTAAAGAACTCGGCCAAGGCTGCTGAAAGCTGAAAAATAACCTATCTCACAGTTTGGGGCTTTTTACCCGTGATTCTTCACTTTGCGACTAAACTATTCACAGCAGTGCCAAATTTTCTGGGTTACTGAATGTGGGTGCCAGCGCCCTCCAAGCAAACCAAAAATCAAATCAATGCGACCATTGACAACGCAGCTGGGTCATGTTATAGAGAGGTACATTGAAATTCAAAGGTCAGCACAAATGGTCAAAATCCGACATTTTCTCACCTTTCTGTCTTTTCGCAGCTCAGAAAATGACAATGACCATCCTCATCATCTTGTGTAGCTGGACATAGACAAGTGCACCAAGAAAAAGAGCCACATTTCTCTAAAGAACTCGGCCAAGGCTGCTGAAAGCTGAAAAATAACCTATCTCACAGTTTGGGGCTTTTTACCCGTGAATCTTCAGTTTGCGACTTAACTATTCACAGCAGTGCCAAATTTTCTGGGTCACTGAATGTGGGTGCCAGCGCCCTCCAAGCAAACCAAAAATCAAATCAAAGCGAACACTGATATTACAGCTGGGTCACGTTATAGAGAGGTGCATTGAAATTCAAAGGTCAGCACAAATGGTCAAAATCCGACATTTTCTCACCTTTCTGCCCGTTTGCAGCTCAGAAACAGACAATGACCATCCTCATCTCCTTGTGTAGCTGGATATAGACAAGTGCACCAAGAAAAAGAGCCACATTTCTCTGAAGAACTCGCCCAGGGCTGCTGAAAGCTGAAAAATAACCTTTCTCACAGTTTGGGGCTTTTTACCCGTGAATCTTCACTTTGCGACTAAACTATTCACAGCAGTGCCAAATTTTCTGGGTCACTGAATGTGGGTGCCAGCGCACTCCAAGCAAACCAAAAATCAAATAAATGCGACCACTGACAATGCAGCTGGGTCATGTTATAGAGAGGTACATTGAAATTCAAAGGTCAGCACAAATGGTCAAAATCCGACATTTTCTCACCTTTCTGCCCGTTCGCAGCTCAGAAACAGACAATGACCATCCTCATCTCCTTCTGTAGCTGGACATAGACAAGTGCACCAAGAAAAAGAGCCACATTTCTCTAAAGAACTCGCCCAAGGCTGCTGAAAGCTGAAAAATAACCTATCTCACAGTTTGGGGCTTTTTACCCGTGATTCTCCACTTTGCGACTAAACTATTCACAGCAGTGCCAAATTTTCTGGGTCACTGAATGTGGGTGCCAGCGCCCTCCAAGCACACCAAAAATCAAATCAATGCGACCATTGACAACGCAGCTGGGTCATGTTATAGAGAGGTACATTGAAATTCAAAGGTCAGCACAAATGGTCAAAATCCGACATTTTCTCACCTTTCTGCCCGTTCGCAGCTCAGAAAATGACAATGACCATCCTCATCTCCTTGTGTAGCTGGACATAGACAAGTGCACCAAGAAAAAGAGCCACATTTCTCTGAAGAACTCGCCCAGGGCTGCTGAAAGCTGAAAAATAACCTTTCTGACAGTTTGGGGCTTTTTACCCGTGAATCTTCACTTTGCGACTAAATTATTCACAGCAGTGCCAAATTTTCTGGGTCACTGAATGTGGGTGCCAGCGCCCTCCAAGCAAACCAAAAATCAAATAAATGCGACCACTGACAATGCAGCTGGGTCATGTTATAGAGAGGTGCATTGAAATTCAAAGGTCAGCACAAATGGTCAATATCCGACATTTTCTCACCTTTCTGCCCGTTCGCAGCTCAGAAACAGACAATGACCATCCTCATCTCCTTCTGTAGCTGGACATAGACAAGTGCACCAAGAAAAAGAGCCACATTTCTCTAAAGAACTCGCCCAAGGCTGCTGAAAGCTGAAAAATAACCTATCTCACAGTTTGGGGCTTTTTACCCGTGATTCTTCACTTTGCGACTGAACTATTCACAGCAGTGCCAAATTTTCTGGGTCAATGAATGTGGGTGCCAGCGCCCTCCAACCAAACCAAAAATCAAGTCAATGCGGCCATTGACAACGCAGCTGGGTCATGTTATAGAGAGGTACATTGAAATTCAAAGGTCAGCACAAATGGTCAAAATCCGACATTTTCTCACCTTTCTGCCCTTTCGCAGCTCAGAAAATGACAATGACCATCCTCATCTCCTTGTGTAGCTGGACATAGACAAGTGCACCAAGAAAAAGAGCCACATTTCTCTGAAGAACTCGCCCAGGGCTGCTGAAAGCTGAAAAATAACCTTTCTGACAGTTTGGGGCTTTTTACCCGTGAATCTTCACTTTGCGACTAAACTATTCACAGCAGTGCCAAATTTTCTGGGTCACTGAATGTGGGTGCCAGCGCCCTACAAGCAAACCAAAAATCAAATAAATGCGACCACTGACAATGCAGCTGGGTCATGTTATAGAGAGGTGCATTGAAATTCAAAGGTCAGCACAAATGGTCAAAATCCGACATTTTCTCACCTTTCTGCCCGTTCGCAGCTCAGAAACAGACAATGACCATCCTCATCTCCTTCTGTAGCTGGACATAGACAAGTGCACCAAAAAAAAGAGCCACATTTCTCTAAAGAACTCGCCCAAGGCTGCTGAAAGCTGAAAAATAACCTATCTCACAGTTTGGGGCTTTTTACCCGTGATTCTTCACTTTGCGACTAAACTATTCACAGCAGTGCCAAATTTTCTGGGTCACTGAATGTGGGTGCCAGCGCCCTCCAAGCAAACCAAAAATCAAGTCAATGCGACCACTGACAATGCAACTGGGTCATGTTATAGAGAGGTGCATTGAAATTCAAAGGTCAGCACGAATGGTCAAAATCCGACATTTTCTCACCTTTCTGCCCCTTCGTAGCTCAGAAAATGACAATGACCATCCTCATCTCCTTCTGTAGCTGGACATAGACAAGTGCACCAAGAAAAAGAGCCACATTTCTCTAAAGAACTCGCCCAAGGCTGCTGAAAGCTGAAAAATAACATATCTGACAGTTTGGGGCTTTTTACCCGTGAATCTTCACTTTGCGACTAAACTATTCACAGCAGTGCCAAATTTTCTGGGTCACTGAATGTGGGTGCCAGCGCCCTCCAAGCAAACCAAAAATCAAATCAATGCGAACACTGACATTACAGCTGGGTCATGTTATAGAGAGGTACATTGAAATTCAAAGGTCAGCACAAATGTTCAAAATCCGACATTTACTCACCTTTCTGCCCGTTAATAGCTCAGTAACAGACAATGACCATCCTCATCTCCTTCTGTAGATGGATATAGACAAGTGCACCAAGAAAAAGAGCCACATTTCTCTAAAGAACTCGCCCAGGGCTGCTGAAAGCTGAAAAATAACCTTTCTGACAGTTTGGGGCTTTTTACCCGTGAATCTTCACTTTGCGAATAAACTATTCACAGCAGTGCCAAATTTCCTGGGTCACTGAATGTGGGTGCCAGCGCCCTCCAAGCAAACCAAAAATCAAATATGGTCAGCACAAATGGTCAATATACGACATTTTCTCACCTTTCTGCCCGTTCGCAGCTCAGAAACAGACAATGACCATCCTTATCTCCTTCTGTAGCTGGACATAGACAGGTGCACCAAGAAAAAGAGCCACATTTCTCTAAAGAACTCGCCCAAGGCTGCTGAAAGCTGAAAAATAACCTATCTCACAGTTTGGGGCTTTTTACCCGTGATTCTTCACTTTGCGACTAAACTATTCACAGCAGTGCCAAATTTTCTGGGTCAATGAATGTGGGTGCCAGCGCTCTCCAACCAAACCAAAAATCAAATCAATGCGACCATTGACAACGCAGCTGGGTCATGTTCTAGAGAGGTACATTGAAATTCAAAGGTCAGCACAAATGGTCAAAATCCGACATTTTCTCACCTTTCTGCCCTTTTTCAGCTCAGAAAATGACAATGACCATCCTCATCTCCTTGTGTAGCTGGACATAGACAAGTGGACCAAGAAAAAGAGCCACATTTCTCTGAAGAACTCGCCCAGGGCTGCTGAAAGCTGAAAAATAACCTTTCTGACAGTTTGGGGCTTTTTACCCGTGAATCTTCACTTTGCGACTAAACTATTCACAGCAGTGCCAAATTTTCTGGGTCACTGAATGTGGGTGCCAGCGCCCTCCAAGCAAACCAAAAATCAAATAAATGCGACCACTTACAATGCAGCTGGGTTATGTTATAGAGAGGTGCATTGAAATTCAAAGGTCAGCACAAATGGTCAATATCCGACATTTTCTCGCCTTTCTGCCCCTTCGCAGCTCAGAAACAGACAATGACCATCCTCATCTTCTTCTGTAGCTGGACATAGACAAGTGCACCAAGAAAAAGAGCCACACTTCTCTAAAAAACTCGCCCAAGGCTGCTGAAAGCTGAAAAATAACATATCTGACAGTTTGGGGCTTTTTACCCGTGAATCTTCACTTTGCGACTAAACTATTCACAGCAGTGCCAAATTTTCTGGGTCACTGAATGTGGGTGCCAGCGCCCTCCAAGCAAACCAAAAATCAAATCAATACGAAAACTGACATTACAGCTGGGTCATGTTATAGAGAGGTACATTGAAATTCAAAGGTCCGCACAAATGTTCAAAATCCGACATTTTCTCACCTTTCCGCCCGTTAATAGCTCAGTAACAGACAATGACCATCCTCATCTCCTTGTGTAGATGGATATAGACAAGTGCACCAAGAAAAAGAGCCACATTTCTCTGAAGAACTCGCCCAGGGCTGCTGAAAGCTGAAAAATAACCTTTCTGACAGTTTGGGGCTTTTTACCCGTGAATTTTCACTTTACGACTAAACTATTCACAGCAGTGCCAAATGTTCTGTGGGTGCCAGCGCCCTCCAAGCAAACCAAAAATCAAGTCAATGCGACCATTGACAACGCAGCTGGGTCATGTTATAGAGAGGTACATTGAAATTCATAGGTCAGCACAAATGGTCAAAATCCGACATTTTCTCACCTTTCTGCCCGTTCGCAGATCAGAAAATGACAATGACCATCCTCATCTCCTTCTGTAGCTGGACATAGACAAGTGCACCAAGAAAAAGAGCCACATTTCTCTAAAGAACTCGCCCAAGGCTGCTGAAAGCTGGAAAATACCCTATCTGACAGTTTGGGGCTTTTTACCCGTGAATCTTCACTTTGCGACTAAACTATTCACAGCAGTGCCAAATTTTCTGGGTCACTGAATGTGGGTGCCAGCGCCCTCCAAGCAAACCAAAAATCAAATCAATGCGACCACTGATATTACAGCTGGGTCATGATATAGAGAGGTACATTGAAATTCAAAGGTCAGCACAAATGGTCAAAATCCGACATTTTCTCACCTTTCTGCCCGTTCGCAGCTCAGAACCAGACAATGACCATCCTCATCTCCTTCTCTAGCTGGACATAGACAAGTGCACCAAGAAAAAGAGCCACATTTCTCTAAAGAACTCGCCCAAGGCTGCTGAAAGCTGGAAAATAACCTATCTGACAGTTTGGGGCTTTTTACCCGTGAATTTTCACTTTGCGACTAAACTATTCACAGCAGTGCCAAATTTTCTGTGTCACTGAATGTGGGTGCCAGCGCCCTCCAAGCAAACCAAAAATAAAATCAATGCGAACACTGACATTACAGCTGGGTCATGTTATAGAGAGGTACATTGAAATTCAAAGGTCCGCACAAATGTTCAAAATCCGACATTTTCTCACCTTTCCGCCCGTTAATAGCTCATTAACAACCACACAAGCCGACCTGTTTGGGAGCTATTGCGCGTTGTATTATCAGGGCATAGGCAACAATTGCCGCATGCAGTATGCAATACTATGGACCAATGCCGTAGTATCGCAGGCAACAATTGCCGCATGCAGTATGCAATACTATGGACCAATGCCGTAGTATCGCAGGCAACAATTGCCGCATGCAGTATGCAATACTATGGACCAATGCCGTAGTATCGCAAGCACCAATGTGCGTTAGACTGGCCAATGCCAGGGCTAATGGGGGCAACAATTGCCCGGCGTGTCAATACACGCATACGGTAGGGATGCACTTGTGAGCACATGTAGGCGCACTTGGCTCAATGCCGGCCTGACCCACGATCCCTACCGTTCTCCCTTCCGGGATGGCTTAGAATAGAATGATGGTTAGAGATGATGGGGTGGGTGGTGGTGCTCAAAAACTGGCCAAGGTTGTCAAGCGATCTGACTGTTGGCGCAGCAAGGATGAAGAAGAAGCAGCATCGAGAGCCGGAGTAATGCGCATGCTCCGCGTGGTCCCGTGCCGGGGCGCGGGAGTTCGGAGTGCGTGTTCTGCACGGGCACGTGATGCGCTATGGCAAGTACGTGCAAATTATGTTAGGAATGTAATTGTTGGTGGGTTGCTAACTTCACTTACCGGGCCATGCACGGAAACTTATATTTAACAACCACACAAGCCGACCTGTTTGGGAGCTATTACGCGTTGTATTATCAGGGCATAGGCAACAATTGCCGCATGCAGTATGCAATACTATGGACCAATGCCGTAGTATCGCAGGCAACAATTGCCGCATGCAGTATGCAATACTATGGACCAATGCCGTAGTATCGCAGGCAACAATTGCCGCATGCAGTATGCAATACTATGGACCAATGCCGTAGTATCGCAAGCACCAATGTGCGTTAGACTGGCCAATGCCAGGGCTAATGGGGGCAACAATTGCCCGGCGTGTCAATACACGCATACGGTAGGGATGCACTTGTGAGCACATGTAGGCGCACTTGGCTCAATGCCGGCCTGACCCACGATCCCTACCGTTCTCCCTTCCGGGATGGCTTAGAATAGAATGATGGTTAGAGATGATGGGGTGGGTGGTGGTGCTCAAAAACTGGCCAAGGTTGTCAAGCGATCTGACTGTTGGCGCAGCAAGGATGAAGAAGAAGCAGCATCGAGAGCCGGAGTAATGCGCATGCTCCGCGTGGTCCCGTGCCGGGGCGCGGGAGTTCGGAGTGCGTGTTCTGCACGGGCACGTGATGCGCTATGGCAAGTACGTGCAAATTATGTTAGGAATGTAATTGTTGGTGGGTTGCTAACTTCACTTACCGGGCCATGCACGGAAACTTGTATTTAACAACCACACAAGCCGACCTGTTTGGGAGCTATTACGCGTTGTATTATCAGGGCATAGGCAACAATTGCCGCATGCAGTATGCAATACTATGGACCAATGCCGTAGTATCGCAGGCAACAATTGCCGCATGCAGTATGCAATACTATGGACCAATGCCGTAGTATCGCAGGCAACAATTGCCGCATGCAGTATGCAATACTATGGACCAATGCCGTAGTATCGCAAGCACCAATGTGCGTTAGACTGGCCAATGCCAGGGCTAATGGGGGCAACAATTGCCCGGCGTGTCAATACACGCATACGGTAGGGATGCACTTGTGAGCACATGTAGGCGCACTTGGCTCAATGCCGGCCTGACCCACGATCCCTACCGTTCTCCCAAAATACAACATGACCCAAACAGGAATTATCGGCATTACTATAGTTATAGTAGCGTTACTATAGTTATAGTATAATAGGTATATCATATGTACACTACAGCTGTTGCTAGGGCCGTCCAATGCGGCTACCCATTAGCATAACGGGCAGAGACTAGAACAATGCCGCTGGCAATGCTCTGTCTGCGACAGGGGTGCGGACATAGCGGAGATAGGCAGAGCTTTGCCACCTGCCGGCGGTCTTCAGCACGTACTCAGGCACGCCAGCTTTGCCTGCCAGCGTTGCAGCACCTCGTCTGAGGCTGTGGCTGCGCACGTCTTTGTTAGGCAAGGCTGTTTGTAGTAGCCTGTTGATGTTATGCGGCTTCAGGGGCGTGCCGTCATCATAGCGATAGAGCGGGCCAGGTGCCGAGCCACGGGCTGCTAGGTAGCTGGTGGCTGCCGTGTGCGGGCATGTCGGCGAGCCTGTCCTCCTGGCGCTAATGTCCTGGCCGCTGCCGTATTGGCTCGTCTTTGTCGCACGCAGGCGCAGCTCCACGCGGTCTGGGTACATGGTCGCATCGCTGTACTCAAGGCCGGTGCCCCGTGCCGTGAAGGTGTACTCGTTGACTCTGAGCAGCCCGTGGAAGGCCAGAGTCACGGCGCTCCAGAGCATGGCGCGGTTGTGCGGGCTAGGCACGGTGGACTGCAGGTAGTGCTGTACGCCAGCCAGATCGTCCAAAGTTGCGGCCCGCGTCGTCAACTGCTGAAGGGTGGACTGCGCTGGTTGTGTCGGCACTGCGTCGGCAGTTGGGCTGCGAGTCCAGAAGCGTCGACAACCTGACCCAAACAGGATTTATCTACATTACTATTACACTACAATTGATGTGAGTGCCGTCCAATGCGGCTGCCCATTAGCATAGTGGGCAATGCGCTCAACGTACCGGATATGGAACAATGCTGTTGGCACTGATCAGTCACTGGGTATGGCTTGCCCTAGTGCGGGGTGACAAGCGTTCGGAGCGCTGCAGCGAAGCGTATGTTGTGCTGGAGCTGCCCGCCAGGCCCTGGCGGATGAGGTCCATGGTTGCGTCATCAACTGCTGAAGGGTGGACTGCGCTGGTTGTGCCGGCACCGCTTCGGCAGTTGGGCTGCAAGTCCAGACGCGCTGACAACCGGACCCAGACAGGATTTATCTGCATTACTATTACACTGCAATTTATGTGAGTGCCGTCCAATGCGGCTGCCCATTAGCATAGTGGGCGATGTGCTCGAAGTACAGGATCTGGAACAATGCTGCCGGCACTGATCAGTCCCTGAGGTTGGCTTGCCCTGGCGCAGGGCGACAAGCGTTCGGAGTGCTGCGGCGAAGCGCATGCCATGCTGGAGCTGTCCGCCAGGCCCTGGCGGATGAGGTCCATGGTTGCGTCGTCAACTGCTGGAGGGTGGACTGCGCTGGTTGTGTCGGCACCACTTCGGCAGTTGGGATGCGAGTCCGGCAGCGCTGACAACCTGACCCAAACAGGATTTATCTGCATTACTATTACACTGCATTTGATGTGAGTGCCGTCCAATGCGGCTAGCCATTAGCACAGTGGGCAATGCACTCAAAGTACAGGATCTGGAACAATGCTGCTGGCACTGATCAGTCCCTGAGTGTGGCTTGCCCTGGCGCAGGGCGACAAGTGTTCGGAGCGCGGCAGCGAAGCGCATGTTATGCTGGAACTGGCCGCCAGGCCCTGGCGGATGAGGTCCATGGTTGCGTCGTCAACTGCTGGAGGGTGGACTGTGCAGGGTGTGTCAGCACTGCGTCGGTAGATGGGCTGAGAGTCCGGAAGCGCTGTACTCGAAGACGAGTAAGAGACTTAGCAGGATCATTGCAGAGTCGCCGTTGGGCTGAGAGTCCACATCAGCCGGTCTGTTGAACGGAAGGGGGAGGATCTAAGGCCAAATGGTGGTGCCTTATCTACATGGTACGAACCTTCCAAAAAATGCCAAGCCGGGGCCAGACATGAGGGGAAACAGACCAAAGCCGCCAGGCATACTTTGTGTCAGCTTTAGAGAGGAGAGCTCAGCATCAGGGACCTAAATTTCCGAGCCATCTTCAAGATTATGGGCTGGTGCGAAAACAGCTCCGGGGGCCCTGGAGGGGTGTGCTGCTGCGTCAGTCGCACAATACGTGCTCCAAGCGTCGCGAACCTCCTCCCGACTAAAGTCTCCCAGGCCAGGGATGGGGCTGCAGTTGCCTTGGCTAGGTTCTGCTCCGCTGCCGGAGCGGCCAAGTCCTCGCGTACAGTAGTCTGGAGCCAACTTCAACTCGAGCAGGCGAGTCCGCGGAGTAGGTTTTGTTCCTGTCGGGTCTAAACAATTGCGGGATGCCAGTGCGTTTCGCAGCTCAGCAGAGCGCATTTTGGCTGGACATCGCTCACTGACAAGACATGGTTGATCGGATATTGATCAGAAACTGGCCGCGATTGTCAAACAATTTGACCGTTAAGGCAGCAAAGCAAAGAGCGTTATGGCTGGACATCGCTCACTGACAGAGACATGGTTGATCGGATATTGATCAGAAACTGGCCGCGATTGTCAAACAATTTGACCGTCACTGCGTCAGCGCAGCAAAGCAAACGGAGCGTTTTGGCTGGACATCGCTCACTGACAGAGACCTGGTTGATCGGATATTGATCAGAAACTGGCCGCGATAGTCAAACAATTTGACCGTCAGCACAGCAAAGCGAAGAGCAAGCTCAAAAACTGGCCAAGGTTGTCAAGCGATCTGACTGTTGGCGCAGCAAGGATGAAGAAGAAGCAGCATCGAGAGCCGGAGTAATGCGCATGCTCCGCGTGGTCCCGTGCCGGGGCGCGGGAGTTCGGAGTGCGTGTTCTGCACGGGCACGTGATGCGCTATGGCAAGTACGTGCAAATTATGTTAGGAATGTAATTGTTGGTGGGTTGCTAACTTCACTTACCGTGCCATGCACGGAAACTTATATGTAACAGACAATGACCATCCTCATCTCCTTCTGTAGATGGATATAGACAAGTGCACCAAGAAAAAGAGCCACATTTCTCTAAAGAACTTGCCCAGGGCTGCTGAAAGCTGAAAAATAACCTTTCTGACAGTTTGGGGCTTTTTACCCGTAAATTTTCACGTTACGACTAAACTATTCACAGCAGTGCCAAATTTTCTGGGTCAATGAATGTGGGTGCCAGCGCCCTCCAAGCAAACCAAAAATCAAGTCAATGCGACCATTGACAACGCAGCTGGGTCATGTTATAGAGAGGTACATTGAAATTCATAGGTCAGCACAAATGGTCAAAATCCGACATTTTCTCACCTTTCTGCCCGTTCGCAGCTCAGAAACAGACAATGACCATCCTCATATCCTTCTGTAGCTGGACATAGACAAGTGCACCAAGAAAAAGAGCCACATTTCTCTAAAGAACTCGCCCAAGGCTGCTGAAAGCTGAAAATAACCTATCTCACAGTTTGGGGCTTTTTACCCGTGTATCTTCACTTTGCGACTAAACTATTCACAGCAGTGCCAAATTTTCTGGGTCATTGAATGTGGGTGCCAGCGCCCTCCAAGCAAACCAAAAATCAAATCAATGTGACCACTGATATTACAGCTGGGTCATGTTATAGAGAGGTACATTGAAATTCAAAGGTCAGCACAAATGGTCAAAATCCGACATTTTCTCACCTTTCTGCCCGTTCGCAGCTCAGAAACAGACAATGACCATCCTTATCTCCTTCTGTAGCTGGACATAGACAAGTGCACCAAGAAAAAGAGCCACATTTCTCTAAAGAACTCGCCCAAGGCTGCTGAAAGCTGGAACATAACCTATCTCACAGTTTGGGGCTTTTTACCCGTGAATCTTCACTTTGCGACTAAACTATTCACAGCAGTGCCAAATTTTCTGGGTCACTGAATGTGGGTGCCAGCGCCCTCCAAGCAAACCAAAAATCAAATCAATGCGAACACTGACATTACAGCTGGGTCATGTTATAGAGAGGTACATTGAAATTCAAAGGTCAGCACAAATGGTCAAAATCCGACATTTTCTCACCTTTCCGCCCGTTAATAGCTCAGTAACAGACAATAACCATCCTCATCTCCTTGTGTAGATGGATATAGACTAGTGCACCAAGAAAAAGAGCTGTTGTAACTCGCTTTTCTCTACCTGCTCCCAGTCCCGTGCCATCTCCACACTTATACAAAGGGACGACGATAACTACATTTAGAAGACTATATTTGTGACAAGACGACGGAACCACAACTATACATGACGAACTCAAGACGAAGACATTATGAACTCAAGACGAAGACTGCTTTTTACACCACAGCAACACGCGCATGCATCAACATGACGTACACACGACGTACACAAATAACGTACTACAACATAACTCCCTCCCAAGAGTAGAATCGTCCTCGATTCTAATAATAAACAGAGGAAAAAGAGAAAAAGATCACACAAATCACTCAATCATACCATACCAGTCACACCCATAAATAAAACTTTGCACTGCATTGCAGATTATTAAAAAAAACTCTGTCCGCCCACCCAGAACACGAGCCACGATCGCCGTCACACGTGTGGGAACTGATAACCTCAAAAACTCTACTTCACACAACACACCACCTCACGATCACGCAAAAATTCTAAAATGTGAGAGCACAAATCATAAGAATAACAAAAAAGAACAGAATCCACTGGCTCTGTGGGGGCCTCTAGTTATCCTCATAGAAGAGCAAATCAAAAAACAAACAGAACACACGCGCTGTGCGGGCGCCTCTTTACCCTCGAGGAGAGCAAATAATAAAGAACAAAATGTTGGGAGAACAGAAAATACACAACTCACATACTCATCACGTTCACAACAACACACGTACCCTCTCACCAACGAAACTCCTCACGCCGTCTGCCATGTCGTCCGCCATCTCAAAGCGCTGCTCAGCGTCCACATCCTCACACTGCAGCCTTCACCTTCCATCCTTCTTTTTTTCTGTTTCAGTTTTTCTTCTGGGCACAGTTTTACGTCGTGTCCGGGACCACCAGTGACGACGACTGACGACGACTGACAAGAGACGGGAGAGACGAATGATGAAGGACGAGGACGACGGACGAACTTCTTTAAGACGGACAAAACTGTGACGATAGGACGACTGGAGATGACATCGGAAACTGGGAGCGAAGGCCACGCAGGACGAATCCAGAAGTTGAGATTTACAAATTTCCATTACCGCTGCCACCAATGTTGTAACTCGCTTTTCTCTACCTGCTCCCAGTCCCGTGCCATCTCCACACTTATACAAAGGGACGATGATAACTCCATTTAGAAGACTATATTTGTGACAAGACGACGGACCCACAACTATACATGACGAACTCAAGACAAAGACATGATGAACTCAAGACGAAGACTGCTTTTTACACCACAGCAACACGCGCATGCACCAACATGACGTACACACGACGTACACAAAATAACGTACTACAACAGAGCCACATTTCTCTAAAGAACTCGCCCAGGGCTGCTGAAAGCTGAAAAATAACCTTTCTGACAGTTTGGGGCTTTTTACCCGTGAATTTTCACTTTACGACTAAACTATTCACAGCAGTGCCAAATTTTCTGGGTCAATGAATGTGGGTGCCAGCGCCCTCCAAGCAAACCAAAAATCAAGTCAATGCGACCATTGACAACGCAGCTGGGTCATGTTATAGAGAGGTACATTGAAATTCATAGGTCAGCACAAATGGTCAAAATCCGACATTTTCTCACCTTTCTGCCCGTTCGCAGCTCAGAAAATGACAATGACCATCCTCATCTCCTTGTGTAGCTGGACATAGACAAGTGGACCAAGAAAAAGAGCCACATTTCTCTGAAGAACTCGCCCAGGGCTGCTGAAAGCTGAAAAATAACCTTTCTGACAGTTTGGGGCTTTTTACCCATGAATCTTCACTTTGCGACTAAACTATTCACAGCAGTGCCAAATTTTCTGGGTCACTGAATGTGGGTGCTAGCGCCCTCCAAGCAAACCAAAAATCAAATAAATGCGACCACTGACAATGCAGCTGGGTCATGTTATAGAGAGGTGCATTGAAATTCAAAGGTCAGCACGAATGGTCAAAATCCGACATTTTCTCACCTTTCTGCCCCTTCGCAGCTCAGAAACAGACAATGACCATCCTCATCTCCTTCTGTAGCTGGACATAGACAAGTGCACCAAGAAAAAGAGCCACATTTCTCTAAAGAACTCGCCCAAGGCTGCTGAAAGCTGAAAAATAACCTATCTCACAGTTTGGGGCTTTTTACCCGTGAATCTTCACTTTGCGACTAAACTATTCACAGCAGTGCCAAATTTTCTGGGTCACTGAATGTGGGTGCCAGCACCCTCCAAGCAAACCAAAAATCAAATCAATGCGAACACTGACATTACAGCTGGGTCATGTTATAGAGAGGTACATTGAAATTCAAAGGTCAGCACAAATGTTCAAAATCCGACATTTTCTCACCTTTCTGCCCGTTAATAGCTCAGTAACAGACATTGACCATCCTCATCTCCTTGTGTAGATGGATATAGACAAGTGCACCAAGAAAAAGAGCCACATTTCTCTAAAGAACTCGCCCAGGGCTGCTGAAAGCTGAAAAATAACCTTTCTGACAGTTTGGGGCTTTTTACCCGTGAATCTTCACTTTGCGACTAAACTATTCACAGCAGTGCCAAGATTTCTGGGTCAATGAATGTGGGTGCCAGCGCCCTCCAACCAAAGCAAAAATCAAGTAAATGCGACCATTGACAACGCAGCTGGGTCATGTTATAGAGAGGTACATTGAAATTCATAGGTCAGCACAAATGGTCAAAATCCGACATTTTCTCACCTTTCTGCCCGTTCGCAGCTCAGAAAATGACAATGACCATCCCCATCTCCTTGTGTAGCTCGACATAGACAAGTGCACCAAGAAAAAGAGCCACATTTCTCTGAAGAACTCGCCCAGGGCTGCTGAAAGCTGAAAACTAACCTTTCTGACAGTTTGGCGCTTTTTACCCGTGAATCTTCACTTTGCGACTAAACTATTCACAGCAGTGCCAAATTTCTGGGTCACTGAATGTGGGTGCCAGCGCCCTCCAAGCAAACCAAAAATCAAATCAATGCGAACACTGACATTACAGCTGTGTCATGTTATAGAGAGGTACATTGAAATTCAAAGGTCAGCACAAATGGTCAAAATCCGACATTTTCTCACCTTTCTGCCCGTTCGCAGCTCAGAAAATGACAATGACCATCCTCATCTCCTTGTGTAGCTGGACATAGACAAGTACACAAAGAAAAAGAGCCACAATTCTCTAAAGAACTCGCCCAGGGCTGCTGAAAGCTGAAAATAACCTATCTCACAGTTTGAGGCTTTTTAACCGTGAATCTTCACTTTGCGACTAAACTATTCACAGCAGTGCCAAATTTTCTGGGTCACTGAATGTGGGTGCCAGCGCCCTCCAAGCAAACCAAAAATCAAAACAATGCGACCACTGACTTAACAGCTGGGTCATGTTATAAAGAGGTACATTGAAATTGAAAGGTCAGCACAAATGGTCAAAATCCGACATTTTCTCACCTTTCTGCCCGTTCGCAGCTCAGAAACAGACAATGACCATCCTCATCTCCTTGTGTAGCTGGACATAGACAAGTGCACCAAGAAAAAGAGCCACATTTCTCTGAAGAACTCGCCCAGGGCTGCTAAAAGCTGAAAAATAACCTTTCTGACAGTTTGGGGCTTTTTACCCGTGAATCTTCACTTTGCGACTAAACTATCCACAGCAGTGCCAAATTTTCTGGGTCACTAAATGTGGGTGCCAGCGCCCTCCAAGCAAACCAAAAATCAAATCAATGCGACCACTGATATTACAGCTGGGTCATGTTATAGAGAGGTACATTGAAATTCAAAGGTCAGCACAAATGGTCAAAATCCGACATTTTCTCACCTTTCTGCCCGTTCGCAGCTCACAAAATGACAATGACCATCCTGATCTCCTTGTGTAGCTGGACACAGACGAGTGCACCAAGAAAAAGAGCCACATTTCTCTAAAGAACTCGCCCAAGGCTGCTGAAAGCTGAAAAATAACCTATCTGACAGTTTGGGGCTTTTTACCCATGAATCTTCACTTTGCGACTAAACTATTCACAGCAGTGCCAAATTTTCTGGGTCACTGAATGTGGGTGCCAGCGCCCTCCAACCAAACCAAAAATCAAATCAATGCCACCACTGGTATTACAGCTGGGTCATGTTATAGAGAGGTACATTGAAATTCAAAGGTCAGCACAAATGGTCAAAATCCGACATTTTCTCACCTTTCCGCCCGTTAATAGCTCAGTACCAAACAATGACCATCCTCATCTCCTTGTGTAGATGGATATAGATAAGTGCACCAATAAAAAGAGCCACATTTCTCTAAAGAACTTGCCCAGGGCTGCGGAAAGCTGAAAATAACCTTAATAAGCTTTTGAAGATTCTTTTTCGATCGAGTGGGTGTCTTTGTTGTCAAAGGAGTTTCAAGTGTCTTCAAATGTCTCTGGTCAATTGATTTTAGCGCTAGGTGAGAGCTCGTCACACGGAGGTTGAGTTTAGACACAGCGATGGCGACAGGTGTCGCGACAAGGACTAGGTCCAGAGTTGTCAGCATGAGACTCCCTGTACGAAGCGGCGCTGAAAGTTATTTCGCGATCGGAATTATTTCTTTGGTGGCGACCTCGCTGAGTTTGTCCAGCAGTGGCAAGTCTCATATGCATAGCAATGAAGAGCCCTCATAAAATCGACACTGGATACTGATGGCGACGATAGTCAGTGCTGGAGTAATAGCGACTGCGAGGAGAAGCTGAATGTCGACCCACTCAGCGATCCGTATTTTCTACATCGACAACAATGATGTTGCAGACACTGATGGAGGGCTTCTCACGGCGCAAAACAGAGCGTAGTATTATCAGTACTCTACCTTGCCAGACGACGCCAAGCTGGCTGCTGCCTGTGCTGAGAAAGGCGATCCCTAAAAAGTCAAACCAGCTGAACGCTTTGGGGCAACATCTTCACGTGCTACAAAACGCGAATATTCGCTCATATCATTGAAATACAATTATGCTGAAATCATGGTCTGAGTGAAAGTGTGCAAGGGAGTGGATGTCAGTGGTATTGGTCAGTACATCTATCAGTATGGCAAGCTTTGGGACAACGCTCAAACTGCCAGCACAAAGGTCCCTGAACACAATTTGGAAGGCCAGCCACCAATCATCGTTTTGCACTCTGGTGTTGTAAAGAAGGTGTATACGGAATATCGTCACACTTCTGAACTACTCATGCCTGCAGCACCAAGAGGGCAAGCCTGACTTGCATTCTATTTACTTACATGTACCTGTTCCACATCACAATCAGAAACTGTAGGATCAACTTGCATGGAGTTACTGGGCATGGATGCTGCGCCAACTGTACCGAATCTTGACCTGTGTGACTTCAAACTCTATTTTCCATGCTTTCGCTCATCAGATTGTCACCAAACTTGATAACTTGAATGATTAATAGTGTAGAATCAATTTAGAGCGAAAAAATATTTTTTGAAAAAATTACACATGTTCAGGTTTCTGTTGGCTGGGGCTCAAATGTGGGTGCCAGCGTCCTCAAACCAAACCAAAAATCAAATCAATGCGACCATTGACTACGCAGCTGGGTCATGTTATAGAGAGGTACATTGAAATTCAAAGGTCAGCACAAATGGTCAAAATCCGACATTTTCTCACCTTTCTGCCCGTTCGCAGCTCAAAAAATGACTATGAACATCCTCATCTCCTTGTGTAGCTGGACATAGACAAGTGCACCAAGAAAAAGAGCCACATTTCTCTGAAGAACTCGCCCAGGGCTGCTGAAAGCTGAAAAATAACCTTTCTGACAGTTTGGGGCTCTTTACCCGTGAATCTTCACTTTGTGACTAAACTATTCACAGCAGTGCCAAATTTTCTGGGTCAATGAATGTGGGTGCCAGCGCCCTCCAAGCAAACCAAAAATCAAATCAATGCGACCACTGATATTACAGCTGGGTCATGTTATAGAGAGGTACATTGAAATTCAAAGGTCAGCACAAATGGTCAAAATCCCACATTTTCTCACCTTTCCGCCCGTTAATAGCTCAGTAACAGACAATGACCATCCTCATCTCCTTCTGTAGATGGATATAGACAAGTGCACCAAGAAAAAGAGCCACATTTCTCTGAAGAACTCGCCCAGGGCTGCTGAAAGCTGAAAAATAACCTTTCTGACAGTTTGAGGCTTTTTACCCGTGAATCTTCACTTTGCGACTAAACTATTCACAGCAGTGCCAAATTTTCTGGGTCACTGAATGTGGGTGCCAGCACCCTCCAAGCAAACCAAAAATCAAATCAATGCGAACACTGACATTACAGCTGGGTCATGTTATAGAGAGGTACATTGAAATTCAAAGGTCAGCACAAATGTTCAAAATCCGACATTTTCTCACCTTTCCGCCCGTTAATAGCTCAGTAACAGACATTGACCATCCTCATCTCCTTGTGTAGATGGATATAGACAAGTGCACCAATAAAAAGAGCCACATTTCACTGAAGAACTCGCCCAGGGCTGCTGAAAGCTGAAAAATAAACTATCTCACAGTTTGGGGCTTTTTACCCGTGAATCTTCAGTTTGCGACTAAACTATTCACAGCAGTGCCAAATTTTCTGGGTCACTGAATGTGGGTGCCAGCGCCCTCCAAGCAAACCAAAAATCAAATCAATGCGACCACTGACAATGCAGCTGGGTCATGTTATAGAGAGGTGCATTGAAATTCAAAGGTCAGCACAAATGGTCAAAATCCGACATTTTCTCACCTTTCTGCCCGTTCGCAGCTCAGAAACAGACAATGACCATCCTCATCTCCTTCTGTAGCTGGACATAGACAAGTGCACCAAGAAAAAGAGCCACATTTCTCTAAAGAACTCGCCCAAGGCTGCTGAAAGCTGAAAAATAACCTATCTCACAGTTTGGGGCTTTTTACCCGTGAATCTTCACTTTGCGACTAAACTATTCACAGCAGTGCCAAATTTTCTTGGTCACTGAATGTGGGTGCCAGCGCCCTCCAAGCAAACCAAAAATCAAATCAATGCGAACACTGATATTACAGCTGGGTCACGTTATAGAGAGGTGCATTGAAATTCAAAGGTCAGCACAAATGGTCAAAATCCGACATTTTCTCACCTTTCTGCCCGTTCGCAGGTTAGGGAACAGACAATGACCATCCTCATCTCCTTGTGTAGCTGGACATAGACAAGTGCACCAAGAAAAAGAGCCACATTTCTCTGAAGAACTCGCCCAAGGCTGCTGAAAGCTGAAAAATAACCTGACAGTTTGGGGCTTTTTACCCGTGAATCTTCACTTTGCGACTAAACTATTCACAGCAGTGCCAAATTTTCTGGGTCACTGAATGTGGGTGCCAGCGCCCTCCAACCAAACCAAAAATCAAATCAATGCGACCACTGACAATGCAGCTGGGTCATGTTATAGAGAGGTGCATTGAAATTCAAAGGTCTGCAAAAATGGTCAATATCCGACATTTTCTCACCTTTCTGCCCGTTCGCAGCTCAGAAACAGACAATGACCATCCTCATCTCCTTCTGTAGCTGGACATAGAAAAGTGCACCAAGAAAAAGAGCCACATTTCTCTAAAGAACTCGCCCAGGGCTGCTGAAAGCTGAAAAATAACCTTTCTGACAGTTTGGGGCTTTTTACCCGTGAATCTTCACTTTGCGACTAAATTATCCACAGCAGTGCCAAATGTTCTGGGTCACTGAATGTGGGTGCCAGCGCCCTCCAAGCAAACCAAAAATCAAATAAATGCGACCACTGACAATGCAGCTGGGTCATGTTATAGAGAGGTACATTGAAATTCAAAGGTCAGCACAAATGGTCAATATCCGACATTTTCTCACCTTTCTGCCCGTTAATAGCTCAGTAACAGACAATGACCTTCCTCATCTCCTTGTGTAGCTGGATATAGACAAGTGTACCAAGGAAAAGAGCCACATTTCTCTAAAGGACTCGCCCAGGGCTGCTGAAAGCTGAAAAATAACCTATCTCACAAATTGGGGCTTTTTACCCGTGAATCTTCACTTTGCGACTAAACTATTCACAGCAGTGCCAAATTTTCTGGGTCACTGAATGTG